ATCAACAGGAAACGCCTGCCTGAGGGGATGAGGCAGGTCCAGGGGGACTGGACTGCAGACAGGAATTCTGGGTAGTGTGTTCTGCTGGGCAGCTTGGCGGAGCAGCCTCATGATTGCCAGGACCCAGGCTCCTTGCCTTGGCATCTGGTGGATCCTTCAATGTACACAGGAGCACCACCAGGTGGAGAGGCCAGAGGATCTGCAGGAAGGAGCACTGACCCTCTGTGACCTCCGTAATCAGATAGCTCAAGCTACAAAAGTGAGGAGAATTGTCTTTGCTCTGGATCGCCACCAAACCTCCTCTTTCCTAGGAGAGGAGAGGCCAAGTACCTGCCAAGACAGTAAGTGACAGTCATCTGGTGTGTTTGCCTCTGACTTTCAGAGGCTGGTGCCTGGGACAATCAGGTGCTTCGTGTGCTAGAAAACTGAAGGAATGGAGGGACTATAGCACTGATTGACCTCTTTCTAGGTGCCAGATGCTTTAAAAATATTGGCTATTGGCAGGCACTAGTAGCTCACACCTGTAATCCTACCTATTTGGGAGGCTGAGATGAGATCGAGATTTGAGGCCACCCCAGACAAATAGTTTGTGAGACCCCCCATCTCCAAAATAAACAGAGCAAAATGCACTGTCAGTATGACTCAAGTGGTAGAGTGCTTGCTTTGCAGCATGAAACCCTGAGTTCAAACCCCGTTCTCTCTCTCTCTCTCTCTCTCTCACACACACACACAACACACACACACACACAACTTTAGGAAACTAGGGTTCTGAATGATCAGATGGGTCTTCCAGGAGAGTGGCAGACTTCAGATTTCAGAGTCAGATTTCAGATTTCCCAGAGGCAAAGATCAAATCTGAATGCTGAAAATAAAAACCAAAAAGGAATAGCTGGACCAAGCAAGGCTTCTGCAGTGGCTGAGAAGCACAGGTTTATCCACCAAGCTGTCTTTCTTCAAACTGACAAAGAGACTGAATGGAGAATGCAGGACCTGGCAATTCTGTAGGAGAGGCAGGAAAAGAGATGGGCTACCTGGCTTCCTGTGCCTTATCCTCTGCCTATCAGTTGCCCTTGAGCAACCAGACTCTGCTGTTAGTGATGGTGGTGATAAAGGGAATTGCAGTGTCCTTCACCCTGCTGGCTCCCTGGACAGCCCCATGTGCCCCCCCTAACCCCCCCTTGCCAAGTGCTCTTACAGTTGGGGATGTAGGTCAGTAAGAGTGGGTGGGTGAGAAAGAACAGAGAAGAGACTCATCCAGACATGACACCCCGCAGGGCAGCAGTGACAACACTTGAACCTGAAAACTGCCTGAAAATAGACTGCGTGTCTATGACATTATGCAAATCATATGCAAAGTCAAGAAGCCCTCTGTCTCTATTTCTAGCAAACTGAATGTGGCCCTGGTGGAAGCAGCTTATTCCAAGAGTCGCCCACCCAGAGTGATGACTGCACAGCTAGCATCAATCCCAGTCCTAAGGTACTGGACTTGGGATGTGCACCTCCACTCCACCCCAGGGCAGGCTTCCTAAGCACAAGGACTTTGCCATCTCTTGGGCTGTTGATCCTAATGCCAGCGAGGATGTGGAGGAAGCTAGAGTGAGGCAGGCCTGAGGAAGAGGGTGCCTGGGAAGGCAGAGAGAACTGTCCTCGAGGGTCTAGGCACCACCAGGCCTTGAAAGAGAAAGGGGTGGGCGTCAGCATCGAGGCTCACACTGCAGAGGGCTCCGTTACCCTACTTCCACAAGCTGTAGTACCCATCACTCCTCAGGAAGGGCCCTTGCCACACAGACCATCCTTCCCTCTTTGGACATAGGAAGCTGGGGCTTCCCTAGGAAATCAGGGTAAAGCAGCAAAGAAGCAAAGAGGGCAGTGGATCTCCTGTCTTCAAAGGCAGGCAGGTAGATTGGGAGGCTATATAGAGGCAGGGGCTTGAGCACGGTGACTTCTCAAGGACTCTTCTAACCCTGCAAAGCAATGGGCTGGTTCTCCTTTCCCAGTTCCTATCCAGAACTCTTGCTCTGCAGTTTTCCTCCACGTCCTTGCTCTTCAACCACAGGGTAGCCATCAGGGTGTGGATAGATGGTCCAGTGCCTGGCAGGCCCAGGAGGAAAGGGTGCTAGGAACGCTTCTATGAGTATCCCCAGAGCAGCCTAAGAGGTCCCCAGGGAAGGCACTGGTTGTGTGGGAGCTCCATGATCCAGAGCAGAAGGCTAACTTGACAGGAAATAGGTGAAGTTTCCATGCAGAAGGAATTGGGGTGCCCTCTCTGTTTCCCAAAGAGGCACCTAACACGAAGGCTAATATTTAGAGCTGAAGGCGTGGCTCAATCGGTACAGCACCTGCTTAGCAAGCGCAAAGTCCAGAGTTCAAACCCCAATGGGGGGAGGGGAAGGCTTACATTTCCAGGCTGGGCAGTCCCCCGACAAGGTCCCTCTCAGCTTTTCAGTACCTCCTGCCTGTCCCTAACGCCCCCCCCCCCAACACACACACACACAAGCGCAAGCGCGCGCAATTTCCGGAGGAGTGGGTGGAAGCAGGGATGAGATGCTTTCTTAGTCAAAGGTGCTAGGGTGGATCCCCAAGTATGGGGAACTTCCCATGCTGCGGGTGTGGACTGACTGCATGCAAGAGGGGACCCCACTTGGGGAGGGACTTGAGAAGAGCGAATTGAGGAGGGCGGGTCCAAGCTGCCTCTGAATGAGGACTCAGGAAGCTCCTCGCTAGGTGTGGTTTTCGAGGGACAGTCCTCACAGCAGAACTGCTGAGTGCTCGCACGCACGCACGCACGCTGGCGCGCGGGGCGGGGGAGGGAGGAGGTCCCCAGCCTGCCAGGACAGGCAAGGCGGTGCCCTGCATGGCGGAGGGCGGTGGCCGCTGGGCAACTCTTCTGCCAGCAGAGGGCGACGTGGCGGACACCAGGATCGGGCTGCTTCCAAAACACGGTTGGAGCTGAGATTTGAGCCCCCTTGGGGGGGAGTCTAGGTAGGGGAGTTCGGGAGCTATGACTTGTCTAAGAGCAGTGCCCCCGGGGGAAGGGGGGGCATGGGGGATTCTTTTGCCACTGGATCGCTGCAGAGGTATCTGGCCTGGGAAGAGTCAGCAGGAGCTCTGGATTCAACCGTGGTTTATTGAGAACTTGCTGTGTGCAGGGCACTGACTAAGGAATCCCACAAACAGTAAAGGGGGTGCAGTTTCCACCTGGGACACACCCTGCACCCAGACAGAAGTATGTGCAGACAGTTCTGTGTAGTGGGCCCCTTCCTTCCCCCTTACTTCACCTCTTCCCTCAGTCCTTCCACTCAGGGACTTTGCAGGTTCTGGGGGAGCTGCTGCCTTCAGTTTCTGGCTGTGGAGTCCCAGGAGGAGTTTGTCCCCAAACCCAGTAAAGGTCAAATCCTTCAGGCAGGAGACTGATTCCTGATAGCGAATCTGCACACTCTGCCCACATCAATCTAGGAACCCAGTGGTCCAGGCAGCTTTCTGTTTTCAGTCAGTTTCACTTCCTGGTTCTCCTTGGGCCTTGCACAATGCTAGGAGACAGGCCTGAGAAAGTGCAGTGATGGGGTGGAGGAAGACGCACACCAGAGGCCCTCCTGGGAAGGCTGTGTGTGTGTGTGTGTGTGTGTGTGTGTGAGAGAGAGAGAGAAAGAGGGGGGGGGCAGGGATGAGCTTTCTTCTCTGCCCCTAAGGACTGAGGGCTGCTATGACAGGCCTTCCCAAGTTCTTGTCCCTAACCTGGGCCCCACCCACCCCCTCAAGTTCTTCTTCCAACCCACCTCCCTTCAGTCCACCCAGGGTTACCTGCTCAGTACATAGACATACACCCTTGACATTTCCAAATGCCAGACTTTCTGTGTTTTTCTCTGGGCCCATTTAATTCTCCTGAGATGTACTCTCGGGAGCCTGGCCTAGGGTATGGACCAGGGTCAGGGCCAAGGCCAGGGGGAGCAGGAACCTGGGTGCTGGAGGCTTCTTGGCCAGAGCCAAATTTCTTTTGAGCACTGGAGGCCTCAGGGGAAGTGGCCCCTCAACCCTCGGGCAGAGGCCAAGCCACAGAGGAGGCCAGAAGGCCTCAGGCTGTCTGAGCCCAAAGATGCATGCCCCTGGCATGGCGTAAGGCAAGAACTAGAGCTTGCAGAATTAGACTAGGAGACACTGGAGAGCCTCCTGGACTCCGATACAGTTATTTTCAAACCCCCATAGCGAGGCAAATTGCCAGAGGCCTGGGCATAGGAGTAGGTGAGACTAGTGAATTTAGCTGGCCCACTGGCTGCCGTTCAAAGAAGATCAAAACTGGAGAACCTAAATCTGTCCATAAAAAAACAAAGGTCTGGAGACAGTGAAGGCATCACTCTTGTCCCATGAAGCAAGTACCTAGGCTCCATACCTGGATCTCCTGATTCCTACTTGAGCCTTACCTCTACCCACCCTGCCATGCTTAGCCAGATGTCCTCTCAGTTATTCTGAAAATCCTGGGCCTTGTCCATGTGACCTACTACTGTCCTATGGTCCTGTCACACCCTCGGCAGGACACCTTTGGTTTTAACATCCAAACAAGTCAGCTAGGATGGTGAGGGGCAGAGGGTGGCAGTGTCAGGGCCCAGCTCTTCTAGATAGCTGGCGTTTAGCTGCTAGGGTGATGGAAGACTATGGCATTACAGAGCTTACATATAAACCCATGGAGAGAAACTGAGTATCTAGAGCTTGGGCCAGAGGCAGAGGCCTGGAAGGGTAGAATGTATGCTGTAGGCTGGATAGGACCCCATGCCACCCAGGCAGCTCTGATAGGGCAGCAGGGTTGACCAAGGGCAGGGGAAAGTGTGGGCCCAGGCTCTGGGCCCAGGGCCTGGGATTCCCTGACTTGGCCACACTGGCTCCGGAGCTTCTGCTGCATCCTGCCCTGGGAGTGGTAGGGGGTGTGCCTTGCTGGTAGGGGAGGTGGGGGGAGAGAGCCAGGCGTCAGGGAGACAGCCACTTTGAGCAGGCCAGACGGCGGGAGATCAGATTTCAGCCCAGCTGTATTTTTGGCTGGATGGGCTAAGGGCCAAGTTGGGCAGACACAGCTGCTCTACAGGGGGGTATCCCCTCCCCAGCATGCCCACTTACACTACCCAGATAAGCCACCATCTCCTGCCTCTCCCCCCCACACACGCACACACTGCAGGCAGAGGGAGTCTGGCGCCCCTGAGCTAATGAATCACTTTGGGCTTCTCTGGACCAAGGCTGAGTTTCTGTAGTGTCTTCTTGATGCGCAGCGCAGTGAGGCGGGCAGAGGGATTGGGATACCAGCACTCCCGCATCATCTGTGCCAGGCCAGAGAGGACCTGGGGGTTAGGAGAGAGACAGAGGAGAGGAAGCAGGGACACAGATCAAGGAAATGGAAAGAAAGTGGTGAAGCAGATGACCCAGTAATGGAGATACAAGCAGGAGAGAAAGGACAGAAAGAGGGAGATCGGAATGTTGGATAGGAGGGCAAGAGTAAAGGAAGCAGAGAGAGGGAGAATGCAGAGAATCAGGCAATGATAGGGAGAGAAAGGAAAATGGGAGAGAAAGGAAATGGAATAAAAAGGGGATAGAAGAAGGCAGGTAGGACAGAGAGAAAAAACAAACAAACACACACAAACACAGAGAGAGAAAGAGAGAACATTCAGGTCTCCTGAATGAGTACCATCTGTGGAACAACTTACCCCTACCCCCACCTCCACCAGAAGCCACAAGGAGGACTGGTGGAGTGGCTCAAAGGGTAAGAGTACCTGCCTAGCAAGCATGAGGCCCTGAGTTCAAACCCCAGAGCTGCCAAAATAAATAAATAAAACAGAAGCCACAAAGAAAGGTAGCTCTGCAAGCCTTCAGGGCTCCTGCATCCCCCACCTGGAGCCTGCGACACCAGTGCACAGGGCAGTGACTCCCAGCCCCTCAACTCACCATCGCCCAGTAGGCAGTGAAAATATAGGTTGTTAAGCAGCACTCTAAAAATGCATCTGTCAAGGGAAGACCCCAGGAAGCTCAGTGGCCCTACAATGAACCAGCCTACCCCCTCTGGATCCTAAGAGTTTATGTATACTTGTGTCCACAGGAATGTGTCCATGTGGCTTTTTATGGATATGCAGGCGGTGCAGAAATGTGTGTGTCTGTGTATACATATATGTATATACATGTGTACATTTATTACTTCTTTAAGTGAATATTCATTTAGGATTTTTGCATGCTAGTCACTGTGGTAGACAACAGGGATATAACAGTGAGCAAAAGAGGCTGCGAACAGTGATTCACACCTGTAATCCCAGCTACTCAGGAGTTGGAGATCAGGAGGATCAAGGTTTGAGGCCAGTGGAGGGGTAGGGGGATTTAGCAAGACCCAATTTCAACCAATAAAAATAAACCTGGGCATGGTGGCATGTTGCTGTCATCTTAGCTAAGCATAGGAAATATAAATAGGAGGATCATGGTCGCTGTTCAGGATGGCCCCAGGCCCAGTTGCTTAAAAACAAATGAAACTGGTAGAGTGCTTCAAGTGGTAGAGTGCCTGCCTGGCAAGCGTGAGGACCTGAGTTCAAACCCCAGTGCCACCCTCCACAAAATAAACAAAAAAACAGCTGAAGCAAAAAGGTCTGGGGGTGTGGGTCAAGAGGAGGCCCTGAGTTTAAACCCTAGTACTGGCAAAAAAAAAAAAGAGTGAGCAAAAGACATGCTCTTTGTCCTCATAGAGCCAATGGTTAGGCACGTGTGTGTGTGTGTGTGTGTGTGTGTGTGTGTGTATGTGTGAGAGAGAGAGAGAGAAAGAGAGAGTGTGTGTGTGTGTTTAGAAGCATATGCAAGTCTGTGTGCATTTATATATATGGGTGGGTATCTTTGTATAAGTACATGGAATGTTTTGAAACAAAACAGTGACAAATTACAGCAAAAACTCTAGCAAGAAATGCAGCCGAGACCCTCTGACTTTCATAGGTAAGGCAGAGGGTGCTGAAAATCTCAGATTGACCAGAGGGTCCTGGAAGGGTAGGGGTCCACAGACCAGGGATGCATGAGGGAGCACCCAGGACACCCAGGATCCATCCACATAGTAGAGGCCTCAGATACAAGTTCTTGGGCCCGGAAACCAGCAGTGAGCCCTACCCCCACCCCATTCCATACCAGCCCCAGCCCCAGCAGAAGCCTCACCGGGTCTGCAGCCAGCCGATTGGGGATGGTGGGGGTCTGCTGGTCGACACATACCACCTTCTTCATGTCCTCAAAGCTGGGGTCATTGGGCACCGCATCATAGAAGGGTGGCCTGTAGTCCTCCACAATGCCTGGGAATTGAAGGGGGAATGGCACAGTCACTCGGGACTCCAAAAAGGCCAAATAGCATCCAGAGGACAGCTTTGCGCAGCCTCTGTCCCAAGGCTTAGGAAACGAGCTGCCTGGCCATTCTGCCCCAAGAGGGATACTATGATATGATAAATGAATATATAACTAATAGTAATCGCTGCCTATATTTTATTCTTCTCTCATGCCGAACATGTATGTAATGTTGAACACATTATATGTGTTAGCCTGTTAGCCCTTGTGACAGCCCTGTGAGATGGGTTGTCATAACATGGGGTTATTATCCCCATGTTATAAATGAAGAAAGAAACTGAGGCTCAGAAAAGCTGGGCCCAAGATTATAGCTAGTAATGGCAGAGTCAAACTTTAAGCCCAGATTGGTGGAGTGGCTTAAGTGGTAGAGCACCAATCTAGCAATCGTGAGGCCCTGAGTTCAAATCCTAGTACACCAAAAAAAAAAAATTCAAGTCCATTTTATTGGTTTATTGGATTTCTAGATTAGATCTTATTCCAGTCTCTTCTCAGCTACCTTCCACCCAGTCAGGAACTACTATCACCGATACCTAATAATAATAACAACGAATTTTTACTGAGCACTAACTATGTGCAAAGCACTGTCCTAAGTGGTCTGCATTAAATACTCACAACAGCCCTAGGAAGTATTAATGCTATTAGCTCCACTTTCTAGGCCAAGACATTAAGATCAACAGGTAGAAAGCAACAGAGCTAGGATTTAAGCCCAAAGGTTTAAAAGCAAAGCCCATGCTCCTGACCACCCAGCTACCAGAAGGCAGGGTAGCTGCCAGATTGCTGAATGAGCACTGGACCAGGACAAAGGGGACAGAAAACTTCTCCCCTAAGAAAAAGGGATTTTTACCCTGGTCTAAGCAACAGCCGCCCATTGTCAGGGATGGCTCAGGCCTCCACTCTAACCCTCCAGCCCACAGCACCCTACCCTGCCTCACCTTATTCCCAGTGCACAAACCTTAGCAGCCTTCTGGAAGCAGTGTATCCCATCCAAGCCCGACCCCACTTCCGAGATCAGGCGTGTTCAGGATGGTACGGCCATTGACTGAAAGCAGTGTCTATGGGGATACAGGCAGCTCCATCCTGCTTCCCAGCTCCAGGCCAGGGCCATGGCCACACAGGCCACAACCTTAGTGGAGCTTTCTCCAGCTGTTCTCCCTATGGCGGGCTTCCAGGCCGCCCCTGTGCCGCTCACACCCTAATCAGTGCTGCACAGAGGCCTGAGCGTGTCTAATGAGCCTTTAATCAGCGCAGGGGCTGACACCAGATTACAGTGTTTATAATGCGCTGGGAATCTGTGTGGGGCTGACAGAGCTTCCCCTCCGTCCCAGGAGCCTGAGGCAGGCTCCCCCAGCCCTTCCTCTCCTGCTGGCTGCCTGGCCCAGAAGGCTCTGGTCTCATCCAGGTGCCCCTTTTCCTCTACCAGCCCCTCCAAATTGGAGTCACCCTGGCATCCCATAGTAATAACGAGACTCTGGTAGGCAGGCAATGTAGGCATTATGCATTTTCGTGGATGAGGAACCCAGGGCTAGACGTTTAAGTGCCACAGTGATAAAAAGCATTCATTGGACCCAGAATCAGATTGCTGGTGTCACGCTAAAGCTGCCTCTAGCCAGCTGCAATTCAGTGCCTCAGTCTACTTGTTTAAAAAACAGGGATAATACTGTGTCAGGCACTTATTCCATTACAACAATAATGGTCCCTAGTATTTAACTTCAGATACTGCTCTAAATAACTTCAGTTGGATTATCTATCTCAACAATTAGAAGCTTTTTTGTGGGGGGGCAGTACTGTGGTTTACACTCAGGGCCTCTTCCACGTGAGTCACACCCCCAGCCCTCTTTTGCTTCTGCTGTTTTTCAGGTGAGGGGGAGTCTCTCATTTTGTTCAGAGCTGGCCTCAGACTGACATCCTTCTACCTATGGCCTCCCGAGTAGCTGGGATCAACAGATACATACTAACTTGCCCAACTTATTTATTTATTTTTTTTGTTGGTACTGTGGTTTGAACTTAGGGCTTCATGCTTGCTAGGCAGGCACTCTACCACTTGAGCCACTGCACCATCTTTGCCCAACTTCTTGAGATGGGGTCTCACTCACTTTTTTCCCTGGGCTAGCCTTGAACCTGTGATCCTCCCAATGCCCACCTCCCAAGTAAGTAGGATTACAGGTAGGGAGCACCATGCTCAGCTAGAAGCTATTTTTTTTTTTCACAGTACTGAGAACTCAGAGCCTCATGCTTGCTTGAGTCATTCCACCAGCCCTAGAAGTTATTTTTAATTGTCATTTTAAAAATGAGGAAACTGAAGCACAGAGAGAGTAAGTAACCTGCTCATAGTCATTGCAAAATTTGGAGCTGAACGCAGGCAATCTGACTCCAAGCCTGTCCCTTAATCACTAAGCAATACCAACTCCTTGCCAATACGTATTTAGATAAGATAGTACATACAGAGAAAATGGTATATCACATATTTTAGTCTAGCTAGGTGCTGTTAATGTTAGGGACTATTAATATTTCTGCTAGCTGGGCGCTGGTGGCTCATGTCTGTAATCCTAGCAACACAAGAGGCAGAGATCAGGAGGATCGCAGGTCAAAGTCAGCCCCAGCAAATAGTTCATGAGACCCTATCTCAAAAAAAAAAAATCACAAAAAAGGGGCTGGTGGAGTGGTGTAGGCCCTGAGTTCAAACCCCAGTAGTGCCAAATATATATATATATATATATATATATATATATTTCTGTTATTACCACTAACCCAAGTGACACAGCCAGCTTTAGACTCAAAGACTCAGCTGAAGCAGCCAGTGAGTGGCAGTGAAGAATGCCAGGAGGTGTAGCCTCAAGCCCCTCATGCCAATGGGCACAAGCCATGGCAGGAAGCCCCCATCTCTACCTACCTCATTACCATTTCCCTCCCTGTGCATGGTGGTCCCTCACCATTGATGATGGTCCTCCGGGCGATCTCCCACAGAACCAGGCCAAAGGCCCAGATGTCTGTCCACTTGTAGGACTCAAAGCAGTCAGTGCGGATCTGCTCGTCCAGCACTTCAGGTGCCATGTACCGCTTGGTGCCCACTCTCGGGTTGTTGCCGATGTCCAGGTAATCGCTACCCTGACAGTGCATCACAGCCAAGCCTGTGGGTATAAGGCCTGTCACTCCTACCACTCAGCCTGGTCCACACATAAGACTGCTCTCGGAGGCTGGGGCCCAGGGGGCTGGCAAGACAGGTATGGAGAGAGACAGATGTAGAGGGGCAGGCAACAGGAGATCTGCCCTGTGATGGGTTGGATGACAGCAGCCAAAGGGAGAACACTGATCCTTGCCACCCTTTGCTTCTGTAGAGCCAAGAACCCAGGGAGATGTGAACAGACAAGGCTGGCATTGTGATGCCCATTTCACAGAGCAGAATCTCAAGGTTGGTGGTGTTGGGGTGTGATGGAGTTAGTGAGAGCAAGATGAAGCCAGGTTCCTGGGTCCCCATCACTTTTCTCTTCCTGGTGCCAGGGTAGATGGTGGAAGGAATGTGACCTTGAAAAGGGTGTTATGACAACTTGTGAGGCTCTCGTGGAGAGGAAATGAGACAATGCATGTCTCTAAGGTTTTAAAGTGTCTCTGTGGCCATCCACCAAAAACAAGCAAAAGAGAAGCAGAGCATATGAATCCTACCCACCAATAACGGGCTTGTCTGCTCGCTGGCTCACCTAGGTCCGCGATGCAACACTGCAGGTTGCTCTTCACCAACACGTTACGGCTCTTGAGGTCACGATGGGCAATGGCAGGTTTGCCCTGTGTGCCAAAGATCTCCACGTGCAGGTGCGCCAGGCCGCAGGCCGCAGACACAGCTAGCCTCAGGGCCAAGTGGGGCTCCAGCGCCTGCCTCTGCAGAAAGTCATACAGGGAGCCGTGCTCGTGGTAGTGTGTGATGAGCCACAGCTGTGTGCTCGAGTTGCGCGAAGTCATGTCCGAGGCAATGAAGCCTGTGTGCGGAAGGGTTGGGTGGCTCAGCAAGGGGCTATGGAGGAGAGAGGCTGGACTGGTCAGGGTCAAGGTAGGGCTGGGTGACAAAGGATGGGCCAGGTTAGGACAAAACTGAGACTGGGGTAGAAAGTGATGGGCTCAGGTCAGAGCCTGGAGCTGGAGTCAGAGGTAATGGCTGAAGGTGGACTGGGAGTCATTCGGGATCAGATCAAGGTTGGGAGGTCTGTGGGCTCCAGCCTTGAGTACAGGGGAACGAGATCCCCAGGTTTGGCACACCACCCTCCCCTCCCGTCCTTCCTTGCCTAGAACGTTGTCATGTCTGAGCAACACCGTGTTGTAGATCTCCGTCTCTCGGAACCAGGACTGTTCATCTCTTGAGGAGAAGATCTTCACCGCCACACTCTCGCCATGCCACAAGCCCCGCCACACCTCACCATAGCGGCCCTTTCCTAATCCAATGACCGGAGGGGAGGACAAGGGTCACACACAGGGCACACAGAGCCCTGGAAAAGGCCCCCCTCCCACACACATATGGATGCTAGGCATGAGCCCACCTGCAGGTCCCCCTCCTGCAGAAGGACCTCCTTGACCCATCTCCAATCTACTCCCTGCCCAGCAGAATTTCCACTCTGCTCAGGCTGGCTCTACTTATGACTCTAGAAGCCAAGAGCTCCTTCACCCCTCCAGGCTTATGGAAGTCCCTGGTCCCCATCCCTCTAAGCTTACCCACACACTCCACCAGAGCCACCTGCCGCGCCACTGTCCTCTGCACCAGGAAGGGAAGCCCTGAGCCACTGCCCGTGGTGCAGTCACTGTCCAGGAAGTCCTAGGGATACCAAGAAGCCACTGAGAGGCTGCCTCCTCCCTCCGCCATGGCCCTCTCTGTCCTCAACCTGCGTCCCGTTGCTGTGTCACCATATGCTCCTCACTTGTCCACCTCCCTGCCCACCCTAATTTCTGGGTGACTCCCCCTTCCAATTCTGTCTACCCTCCCTCTGCCCTCAGTCCCAGGTTTTCCCAGGCCCATACCCCCAACATGCTGTCTCCCTGCTCAGATGCCTTCAGGATGAGGCTGGACTCGCCCAGGTCGCTGTGCAGGCCTCGCTGCTTCTCCTGCCTCCGCCGGACATGCCACAGACCCAAAATACCCAAGGCTACCAGGACCAGCAGGGCCAGCACAGGGCCCAGGATCAGAGGCAGCTGGCTATCTACTTTCGGGTGCTCCGGAGGAGTTTGGGTGGCTGGGGGAGGGGGACACTGAGTCCCAGCTTCCACCAGGCCAGCTACCCTACCCCTGGGCCAGACTACTTGCCACTCAGATCCCAGCCTTCCCTCCCTCCCCACCCCCTCCAATTATAGGGCAGAGCACAAGGGGAAAGCAGGGCAGGGAGGGAAGGTCTGAGAAGATAGGGAGGGGTGATGGGGTCACTGAACATACCCTCCAGCACCAGGGACACATTGTGGTTGCAGAGAGGGCTATAGCAGCAATAATGGTTGACAAACTCAGTGGGGCGCCCCCTGCAAATCTCCTGGTTCAGGCTCCCACAGCCCCGAAATTCCTGGGGGTGCCCATCTTGCTCCCGCACCAGCACCACTGTGCACCATGACCCCTGGCAGGTAGGCCCCTTGCAGTGTGGGTTCTCACACGTGCAGGTCACCAGTGGGCCTCGAGAGGGCTTCACAGGGTCACCTGGGAGACATACCGGAAGCTCAGCCACTCTGGACACAGCTCCTCCAAGAGGAGCTCAACAGCCATTTCTGTTCCTCTGTCCTCTCCTTTCTTATCCCTCAAACCCTTCCATGCCTTGGTCCTCTAACTGCCATCCCCTGATTATCTGTCCCTTAAAGCCTAACACTAACTGGGGGCAGTAGAAACTATGAAAAGGCAGCTTCTGACCCCTGGCTGTCCTAGGACCTCCTCTCTCAACTCCAGGCTCAACCTTGGCTGGGAGGGCTCTCCCTGACAACACCTCTACTCCCCCCACACCAGATGTAGGTTCCTGCCCCAGAGTGTGACAGAGCTCCAGCCTTCAGTTTGTATCTAGAAGACAGAAAGGGGGATGGTGGAGTGGCTCAAGTAGTAGAGTACCTGCCTAGCAAGCATGAGACCCTGAGTTCAAACCCCATTACTGCCAAAAAAAGAAGAAGAAGAAGAAGACAGCAGGGAGGGTTGGAGTTGCCAGCAGAATAGTCTAACTGAGCTGCTCTCCCACCCTTCCAAAGCTAGGCTCCTGTCCTTTTCCCCAGCACCTTAGCTTCAGCTCCAGCAAGATCTAAGCTGAACTCAGATAGCTCTTCTCCATCCAAGGCCCTGTTTCCAGCTGCTGCTCCTCCCATACTCACCCTGGGTCAGGTCTAAGATCATCAGCAGCATCAAAAGGCTCCTCCTGGGGGGGCCCAAGGTCATGGTCCCTGGAGAGAGGAGGAGGCCAGGAGTTGCAGTAAGGTCTGCAAAATGTGACAGCTGAGCTGACTGTGGCTCCCTCCTACCAGGAGGAAATCACTGGGAGGTTTTTTGGGGGGAGGCAGGGAGGCCAACTCCTCACTCCTACGTCTGGCTTTGGGGCGGGGCCTGCAAGGGAAGTCCTGGTTCACTTCCCCATGGAAACCATCCTGTTAGGGGTGAAGGGTGGAGAGCCATGTTTAAGTGATTGAGGACTTGAGGGAACCCCAGCTCTGCACCCCTGCTGCAGGGTCCATACTGGAAAAGGCTGGAAAGGTCTCAGAGGACCTGGGCTGGGGTAGAAGAACCATCTCTTCAGCAGCCCACTGCTGCCCTCTGACGCTTACCCACCCCCTCCTAGCCTCCACCCCTGCCCACCCTTTTCCAGTGGCCCCCCCACCCATCCCCAGCTCTGGCGGCCTCAAACATAAACAGGCTCCTGTCTTCACTTCCTGCCATTCAGGGTCGCGCCAAGCCAGGAACTGGAATCAAGATTGTTTAGATTGGGGTCTGGATAGAACAGGCAGGAGTCACGCACAGCAGGGAATTCAGGGCACATTGTCAGAGCAGGCTGGAGTAGCTACAGGATCTGGAGGAGCCACCTGGGGCTGGGACAACCACATGACACATCCTGAGAGGACACCTTGGAAATCACAAAATCTAGCGCCTGATTTTATAGAAAAAGAGATTAGGGCTCAGACAGCAGGAGGCTTGTCCACGTTCAGGCAGGACTGAGTCATAGGAATGGGAGTTCAACCCAGGTATCCCCATCCAGTGCTTCTTCCTCTCCATCTCCTGATCTAGAGGTGGCAGCCCAGGTCTCAGCCTTCAAGGTTGCCGCGACCCTGTGAAGCTTGGAGCTCAAATGCACTGGGCAATGGACTTTTACACCTCACTAGAGTAAAAGGTGCCCTCTCAGAGCCATTCCCCCATCACCTTCTCCATCCTTGTTGTTCTGGGAAAGGGTAGGGGCAGGGCCAGTGACGTGGGAGGGAAGTGAAACACACTTGGACACTGAACACTTGACCTTGCATGGCTAGCTAGGGTTGGACTTTTCCAGAAGTTTGATGGAGAATGTTAAGAGGAGTAGTTCTTGGGCTGGACATTTGGCTCAAGTGACAAAGTGCCTGCTTTGCAAGTTTGAAGCCCTAAGATCAAACCCAAGTTCCACCAAACATTAAAATTTAAAAAAGAGAGTAGTATTTCTGGTCTATAACAGTCCCCAACTCAGGACCCAAGTCGACTATTGTTTCAGAAGCCACTCCACTCTTCTTTTTTCAAAGCTTTAGAACAAGAAGATACAGGATGAGGCTACAGCAAAGATGACTGTAGTCAGACAGAAACAAGGACCTGCATGGCAGGGTGTGCAGGCATGTGTCTGGGAACTGGATTCCCAGCCAGAACAGCTACCATGAGAGATAGTATCTTTGGCCTGTCCTAGTGAGGCTGGTAGGGCAAGGCAAATGGCTACACCAGGAGCAAAGGGCCCATAGTCTAAGAATGGTACTAAATGAAGACCCAAGATGCTGAGGCTCTGAGGGCAGGATGGCTGAGAGCAGAGTAGGGGGCATCGTGGGCCTCTCAAGCTGGTGGCAACTCTGGCCTTCCTGCCTGGGCTTCCTCTGCCCCAGAGGCCCAAGCCTGGGGGAGGAAACAGAGCCCTGGGTTGCTGCAGCTGTGTCCCCCAGCCTCTGCCTGATCTCCTGCCTCTTTGCTCTCCCGGTAGCCAGTAAGGACTCTGGCAAGCATCTGAAGTGGGTCCAGATGGAGAAAATGTCCCAGAAGAGCTGAGCATGCCTACTGGAATGTGGGCTGGAAGCCATCCTTGGTAGCCTTCACTTGCCCAGAAAGCTGCTAAGGAGAGGGTATGAGGCAGGAACGGGCTAACAATAAAGATGACCTCTAGTATCCTTCTGGGACCCTCTACCCAAGCTTTCATTTTCCTGACCCTCTCCTTTCTACCCGCTCTCTTTCTCTAATACACATCAGCATCATCCGGCAGTAGGTTAGAGATACACACCCTGTGGTCTCACCCCCACGCCAGATTCCCATTCAGTCTATCTGGGACCAGAAATAAATATGCACTTGTAAACTGCTCATCAGTTTGTGTGGGAACCAGGCTTTGAGAAATGTGTCCTACACAGAGCTATGCCTGGCTCCTGGACTTTCATTTGCTGTGCAGGGCTATACAGAGGGAAGGGACTCTCACTCCCATCCAGGGCCCTCCCATCTTCTGGGAAAAAAGGCACAACAAAGCTAAATACAAGGCCAGGGACTTTCGGAGTGAGGGTGGGGACAAGGGCTTTGATGTAGACATTGGCAGTTCAGGGAAGGGATGGTACATTGGCAGAAGTCATCTCTGGTCTAATCCTTGGAATGTGGTGGAGGACAATTGGGACTGTCCAGTTCCTAACTGAGTCCCAGGTAAGGTTAAACACAGGAGTGGGGCCAAGTTCTTACCAAGTCAGAGTCAGCTGATGTCAAACCATTCATCCTGAATCTGACTGTCTCACAGACTGCTGCAGACAAATGGAATCCTTTGATTTCTTAGCAAAACTACATGAAGATCTCCTGCAGGGAGAAGCATGACTATCTCTGGCCAGAAATCACAAATGTTAAACTAACTTCAAACATTAACTTAACACTCTGAAATAATACTACTACTTAACCTGCTCTGAGTGCTAATTGTTTGCTGAGTACTGAATTTGAATGGCTTATCTAATTTAATCCTCTCAATTCCAAGTGGAAACTGGGTTAGGATGGTAAATTTCTTGCCCAGAATCATCAAATGTACCTTGATCAACTTGAATTGCTTCTAATAAATCCCTCCTTGGTTGTAGTTATTCCTCCAGTTGTTTGGAGTTAGGTGAGCCTCTCAAAGAAGGAAAAAGATCAGATTGTGTGGCAGACATTAAGAAATTGTCCACTGCCTGAGCTGGAGGAGCAGCTCAAGTGGTAGAGCACCTGCCTAGCAAGCATGAGGCCATGAGTTCAAACCCCAGTATCAACAACAATAAAACATTACAATTGTCCACTGCTGTTGTCATCAATAGATACCCTGCTCTGTTTCACTTCAAAGACAGTGTTGCTGCCCTGAAATTACCTGTGTGCTGCAGTCTTCTTCAGTGTCTGAGCTTCAGGTGGGGAACCAGAAGGAAAGGTGTGCCTGGAAGATGGTGGTCAGTCTTTTCCCTCCCTAGAGTACCTGGGGGACTGAGAAAACCCACTTCCATCAGCAGCAGGGCTCTGCACAGCAGTGATGGTGACAGGGCAGGAAAAGCACTGTTCAAACCCAACAATCTTCCTCACTCAGCACTTTGTTAGGCCTCACTCAAACAGCAGAGGACCAGGCCCAGCTGCTTGTATCTGGTTGCTCTTATGAATCATTCACGTCACTTTACTGGCCCCTCAGAGCAGTGTGATTTAGCAAAACAAGCCTGGATTTTGGGGCCTCAGGCATCTGCAGAGGAAGCATAGTGCAATACTCTCCCCTTACCTGAGAGGGATATATTCCAAGACCCCCAGCAGACATCTGGAACCATGGATAATACTAACCCTTATGTGCAATACGTTTTTCTCTACACACAACATACCTGTGACATTAATTTCTAAATTAGGCCCACTAAGAGATTAGCAACATTAACTAAGAATAAAATAGAGCAATTATAACAATGTACTAAAGGAGACATTGTACAGTCTCTCTCTCTCTCTCTCTCTCTCTCTCTCTCTCTCTCTCTCTCTCTCTCTCTTTCTCTCTCTCTCTCTCTCTCCCGGTGGGATGAGGGCTGAACTCAGGGCCTTGTGCTTGCAGGATAGTTGCTCTTCTGCATGAGTCACACCTCCACTTCCAGCCCATTTTGCTCTGGTTATTTTGGAGATGGGGTCTTATGAACTATTTGCTGGGGCTGGCCTCTGTCAACCAAGATCTTCTCTATCTCTGCCTCCCAAGTAGCTAGGATTACAGGATTAAGGCACCAGAACCTGGCTCAGCTTCTCTTTGGTATACCTAAATTGCCAATATCTTTACTCTTGCACTTTGGGACCATTTTTTTTTTCAGTACTAGGGACTGAACCCAAGATCTTGCACATACTAGGCAAGCATTCTACCACTTAAGTCACACCCCTAGCCCTTTTGTAATTTATTTTTGAGAAAGTCTCACTAGCATTGCCCATGCAGTCTTCGAATTCCTGCCTCCCAAGTAGAGTAGCCACCATGCTGGCCACTTCGGAGCTATATTAAGTAAACACAAGCACTATAATATTTCCATAGTCAATCTTCCAAACATGACAGCTACAAAGTGTGACCAATTGACAGGTAGTCTATATAGCATGGATACACTGGACAAAAGAATGACTCCCGAAGCTTCCATTTAGTATTTTTATACCACAGTTGACTGCAGGTAACTGAAATCTCAGAAAGCAAAACTGCAGATAAAATAACAGAGGTCAAGATGTGGGCTCTGGATGGTGTAGACCTGGGTTCAAATCTTGACTCTGCCACAGCTGTGAGATTTGAGACCAAGTTACTTAAATTTCTAGGCTTCGCCTCATACGTACAATGGGAATAATAATAGTGTTGATTTCATAGGTATGATTAATAAAGTTACCTAGTAGAGTACTTAATGACCTCTGCTAGGCTGTGGCAGAATTACATGAGAAACACTCTATCCAAGTGTCTACCTAGTAAGCATTCCAGAAACAGTAGCTGCTTGTAACAACTCAATCACGTGAGAGGAAAGGTACCAGGACAAATGGAACAGTGAGGACAGAACCTAACTCAATCAGAAGCAAACCATAAATGAGGGTGGGAGTTGCTGCCCATTATTGTCCTGCCTTTGGAGAAGAAAAGAGGGAGCTGGCAGCCAGACCAGTGATCTCAGAGGTTTCAGTCTTCAGCGGAGATGGAAGATGAGTCCCAGCCTCGGGGCTACTGGGATCTCCTTTCATCTGAATCCTGAAGAAGTCCTTGGCGGAGGATTATGTGACCATGAAGGACTTGGGGTGAGCATTGTGAGATGACCTTACGGTGTCAGGTTCCTTAAATAAGAGTTGCAAGGCTCATCTGAGAAAGCTGAACATCATGAGAAGGGGACAGTCACTCCCATGTCAACCCAGCAGCTCGGCAGGACATGGGAGACCCAGTGAAGCAGGATTCCTTCTGCCCATTTTATGGATGAGAAAAGAAGAGAGAAGTGAAGTGACAGGCCTCAGATACTTGGCAGGAGCAAAAGTTTGATTCCTAGTCTGGATTCTGTCCAGCTCCCTCCCTCCTCTTTGGTCGAAGAACTGGCAGATGCGTACCAATGGTCAGGGGACAGCTCCTGATGGGCTGGGACTGACCCTTCCGCGACCTCTCTAAAAGGTGTCTGGGATCCGCCCGAAGGAAGAGCCCTTTGGGGCAGGGGTCAGTCTGCCCGCCGGGCCCCACCCGCCTGCGTCTACTCACCTTTGGGCCCGCGGACAGGACGGGAGCGTGCAGCGGGCGGTGGCCGCCTCCCCTCCCCTTCCCGGGGGGCGACCGCGGACGCTCGACGAGCGCGGGACTGGGGTCCTGGACCGGGATCCGGGCACAGCCCGGGACGGCTGGGGAGAGGCTCGCTCGGCGCTGCTGGCGCGGCGGCCTCCCGGGACTGGGAAGGGGCTGGAGCAAAAATGTTTCTTATTCCAGCGTCTTCCTGCCTGGCCCGGCTCCACCACTCCCTCCTAATAAACCGTTTCCTATTGCCCAGCTCGCCGACGGGCCGCCCGCTCGCCCCTCGCTGGGCCTCAGGGCCCGGCCCTCCCCCGCGCGGCTCCCGGACCCCCAAGGGTGGCCGCCCCCAGCTTGGGGGTCATCGCCAGTGCCCCAGCCCCAGCCTCCCACATCCGCCTCCCCGAGGGAGCGCGCCTTGGACTTGAACCGTGGGGGTCCGATGGGTCGAGGCCTGAGCCGTGGGAGTGGGGGGGACGGACAGAGCCCAGATGGGGGTAGGGGCCGAACTCATCAGTTGAGGGGCAGCCTGAAGTCGGGAAGGGGGGCACCGAGGGAAGGACGAGCGCAAGGGTGGCAGGGGCAGAGAAGGTACCTGTCCTTAACCCCGCTCTCAGTCGGGGGGGGGGGGGCTCTCGATCTAGGAGGCTCAGAGCAGCGAGGGCAGGGGCTGGGGCTGGCAGGGTCCAGCTAAATTTTGGCTCCGCCCTCTGGGACTCCCCACTCAGTCCAAATCCTTCCTTTCCTCCCTCCGGCCTCTTCACAAGTGTCCCCTCCCTGCCTCCTCAGCCTTCCCCACCGCTGCTCAGCCAAGGACTAAAGAGGCCCAGATAGGCAGGCTCAGGGTCAAGAGTGAGGATGCTCTGATACCCTCGGGAGGCAGCGCATTCAGGTGACAGGTCGCTTTCTTCAACACGGGCGGCCAGAAAGGACAGAGATGCTGGGAGCCACCTTGGACTTTCCTTCCAGATAGAACTTTAAAGGCAAGAGACTCACAGAGCTGAGACCAGGCAGCTGGGAAGAGGGGCAGAATGGCTTCACCTCTGATGTTCCTGCCTCGGACTGTTCCAGTCTCCTCTAGTCACACAGATTCCGAAGACAGACCACCTCCTGGGAACCCAGGCTATCTGTGAGACCTTAGGCAAGTGACACCTTCCCATACTCCAGCCCCTTCCCCTCACCTGTTAGATGGGTATAATGCACAGTGCCCACCTCTAGGGCTACTCTGACCATGAAGTGACCTGGTGCTCATCTCAGTTCATAGCAAAGATGCTGACTGGCTGAGCCGGACATAGAGCAGAGCATAGAGCCGGCTGTCAATGAAGGACTTGGTAATTAAGTTAATATATGAAAAGGCTGGGGAGGAAGTGGCCTTAGTGCCGAAGGGAGAGATGCAGGAATGGACCTCTCAGGTGTCTTGCTTTGACATGGGGATTCTGAAAGACTGCCTCACCCCTCTCTACAATAGGAATGGAGACTGGGGGAGACAATGGCCAGAGGTTCAGACAGGCATCAGTTGTTGACTTGACCTCATTTCCTCTGCTGAAACCCTTCCCAGCCCCAACCACAGCTGCTTCACAACTTGTGAGCCTCAGGAATTGAATTCCCAGAACCCCGCACAACCAAATTTCAGTGTCAAGACAGAATGGTGTCCTGCAGCCAATAGGAAGTACTATGGGATTACGGTATCTACTCTTTCAGATTATAGCCGCCACTTTGGCACTGTTAGCTGCATAACTGGGAGTGTGGCTGCGTGGCCATCTTTCACAGCCACTCTTCTCCCTGACTGCTATGGCTTCTGGCCAACCTCTCCCTCCCAGAGCCCGTGGATTGCTGTCCTGGGAAGTGGGAGTGAGGGCTCTAGGCCAGAACCCCATGGGATCCCCACAGCCTGAGTCCAACGCCTGCTCCCTAAGGGAGGCAGGTGTGGGAGACCATGGAGTTGACCAAGACCTTGGGAGTCACTGATGAGAGAGACTTTAAGTGGGCAGGTTGGTGAAACAGATCAAAGTCGAGTAGATTTTGGGAGGAGGAAGGGGGTGGTGGTGCTGCTGTTCATTGATGCTGGGTCTCTTGTACTTTCCCAGAGCGGGGAACCCCTGAACCCTGACTGGCACTTTTGGGGAGTCTTGCAAATCCCATGCATTCCATGGCATACAGAGAACCTGGAGGAGGTGTCAGAGGAGGGACACAAGTTGGGGAAAGCAGTAGGGCCTCAGACCAATGAGGACATAGAAAAGGAATTACAGATTGTGTCCAAATCTACAAGAATAAAATGCTCAGAGGGACAAGCTGTTCTCCATATTCAGTGAGGACAGAATAAGAGGAAACAGGCCAAAGGACTCTGATTTAGATTTACATGTGCAGGATTTCCCAGCATGCCTGAAGCAGAGGCCTGGAAGTCCTAGGGAATGACGGGTGAAATCTCAAGATCCACCTCAACTGGTGGCAGGTGACAAGGAGCCGGCTGTGAGGGCAGTGCAATGCACGCCTTTACCTTTCAGGTCTAGCTACATGTATGAAGGTCAAGCATCACTCTTGAAACCAGGGTGGGGTTGGCCTCATGGACATGCAACCTGTGCAGATGTTCAGGGGCCGGGGCTGCTTAATGCTCTGCTGCTGCCATCCTGAAGTTCTTCATAATAATAATTCTTTCTTCTTCTGCTTTTTCTTTTTTTTCAGCACTGGGGTTTGAACTCAGGGCCTCACACTTGCTAGACAGGCACTCTACCACTTGAGCCACTCCACCAACACTTTGTATTATTCGTAATGGTATTTGAACAAAGGGTCCAGAATTTTCATTTTGCAATATACTCCACAAACTACTTAGCCAGTGTCTGCCCCGGGGAGAGTAGGGAGAAAAGCAAAAGAAGGAAACTAGGGGGGTGAGCTGGGTTTTTCTCCACTTAAATTGTATACTAGAGGTCTGTGGATGTAGTGTGGCTCAGAAGAGAACTTGCCTATTGTCTGCAAAGGCCTGGGTTTGACCATAGCACCACACACACACCACACACACACCACACACACACACACCACACACACACACCACACACCACACACACACACTGCACACACCTCGCACACACACCGCACACACCCCGCATACACACCGCACACACACATCACACACACACCACACACACACCACACACACACACACCACACACCACACACACACCACACACACACACACCACACACACCACACACACACCACACACACACACACCACACACCACACACACCACACACCACACACACACCACACACACACACTGCACACACCGCACACACCTCGCACACACCGCACACACCACACACACACACCACACACACACACACACCACACACACCACACCACACACACCACACCACACACACACACACCACACACACACAAATGCAGAGTGGGAAAATTAGATTAGGCAATTTAGGGATTTTTTTTTCAAACTTGAGAGACATAAAAACAGGGTGCTGGAGGAAGAAGCAGATACCTTCCTAGGGATATCTGCTCCTCCTAGTGAGGCAGATACCTGTAAATTCCCTTTAGCTATCTATTTACACAGGACAGATTTTCAGTGTGGCAGGCTGGAGTCCAAGTTTTACCTAGAAAAAGAGGGAGGGACAAGAAGTGACTAGGTGTTCTCATCTTAGGGCAGATGGTACCATGGCATCCTAAAAAAGAGCAGTAACTGGGTCATGGAGCTTAGCTTCCAGAACTGGATCACGTCTCTGGGCCTCAGTTTCCTTCTCTGTACACTGAGGGATTAAGACTAGAGAACCAAGGTTTGCCCCAGCTTTACATGATGTTCTTTGGCTCTAAGATTCAGGAAACTACCTGCTCCCAGTCTCTGTCACTGTCACTCAGATCAAAAGAGCATACAGCTAGAGCCTAAGTTTGGCGGGTGGAGGGAGCAGAGCGCCGCCCAGCCCCTCAGGAAGAGGTTGGCAGACTCAGGCCAGATTCCCAGACTTGGAGCCGCCAAGTCATCTTCCTCTTCCTTCCAACTCTTCCACATCTAGTCTCTGCCCCTCTCCAAAGGAGGGTTGTCCTCTCCCTACGCACCCTGAGCCCTCAGGGGGACTGTCTCAGGATGAAACCTCTTGAGAAGGGATGGCCATCAGGGTCAGGGCAGGACAGCCTGTGGGTTAGAAGGTGCTCACGTGATGCCACAGGGGTGGGTGGGCACGAAGCCCAGTCAGTTGTGAAGGCAGTCTAGCATCACCTCTGGATTGTCCCACCCCACGTGCTTCCAAACTCTCATCACCAAACTGGCTTGATGGCTGGAAGAGCAGAGTCAGTGGAAAGAGCCCAAACTGGGAGGTAGAACACCTGTGTGTGAGCCTCTGTTTCCACACCTGGACTGGAAGGGGTTGATAATCCCTTCTCTATCACATTAACAAGCTAACAGCAAATCACACAAGCAAGTCCCTACTGTTGGGAAACCTACACCAACATTTGGTTTGTTTGCTGGGAAGGAACAGAGTTGTGGGGTAGGAGAAACAGCCCTGAGCCAGGAATTCAGTAGACCTGAGGCGTGGCTCTGTGACAGACAAGATCCCTATTTCCTCACCTGCTCAAAAATGAGTCATAAACATGGCCTCTCCTAGTAACGACAGGGTTATTTTACAGATGAGTAGACAGTCACCGGAGAGACAGCCATTGAAAAAAATTAAAGAAATCCCATATAAAACACGGGAACATCCCTTCTTGTCAATGTTTCAGTTGTTTGTTTCTCTGACACTTGCCTCACTAACTCAATAATATTCCTACATGGCTATCTCTAGATTTTACAATTTGAAAGCTTCAGGGGATGTGGCTTAAGTGTGAGGCCCTGAGTTTAAAATCCCAGTGCCAGCCAGGCACAGGTTGCTCGTGCCTGTAATTCTAGGCACTTGGGAGACTGAGATCAAAAGGCTTATGGTTCCAGACAGCCTTTTTTTTTTTTCAAAAAAGTTTTGAAGGCCCCATCTCAACAGAAAAAAAAAAAAAAAGCTGAGCATGGTGGTGCATAAATATGTGTCATTCTCACAATAGTGGGAAGCTTAAAATTGGAGGATCACGGTCCAAGCTGGCCAAGGCAAAAAGTTAGACTCTATACCCAAAATACCCAGTGCAAAAAAGGCTAGGAAGCATGGTTTAAGTGGCAGA